TAAGTACTTTTATAAAAGACTGGAAACCTTTTATGGACTTTTTGCTGAAAATGGAAAAAAGTAAAATGGTGATTTCTGGATTTCAGGATTGAAAAAGGATTGAATAAGGGGCTGAAGGGATTATTGTAATGTTAAGGAGAGAGGAGGGATAATGAATTTGTTTATAACTGCTGTAAACAAAGGTGGGAAGTGACTCCTTTATCTTTTTCCTTTTTCTTTCTTTAACTGCACTGTTTTTTGCACTTTTTCTTTTCTCTTTTTCTCTTTTGTTTCTTTATATATTTCTATATTTGCCTTTTATTCAAGTAAAAACTATTAATAAAAATTATATATAAAAAGATAACAAATATATTGAAAGTAAATAGTTTTTATATGCCAATGATATAATTATATAGGTAACTACCAAACTTCCAGAGGTTCTACAGCAACATGATTTAGACTTTGGTTGCACTAGCAATTGGAAAAGGTCTAATTTGCTGCCTTTGGGATCTATATTACCTATAGACTTTTGCAAGAAATTAAGATTTACAGTATAATTTGTACAGACTCAATAAACCATGTGTGTTTATATTTTTCTCAAATTATATCATAATGTGTGGGATTAAATCTAAATTGTGTCTAAATGTATAGATATAATGTTGGTAGATATCACTCAACGGCAAAAACTTCCATTAAGTCCCTGGAGCAAGATTAAAGGAATCAAAATGAATATTGCATTGAGAATATTTAACCTTTTAAGAGAGATTCCGGTGCTTAATTCTTATCAGATAATTCCTTTACAGATGGGCAAATTACTGAGAAAAAGTTTATGACAGGCCAAAACCCCTTGAATACCTTTGGCTAAACTGAGGTTGCCTTATAAAGGCAATTTTAATTTACCAGATTCTCAGCTGTACCACTGGGCTTTCATTTTAACATCTTTATTCTTCTGGGACATTTTTTTTAAATAATTTTGCCTTTTGGGGGCTTCTTTGGATAGCAAGTATACAACCTCTATGAAATCTTAGTTAATTAATTTGAGGGATATTTGTTTCCAATCTTGAAACCTTTGATTCTTTGAATGTGAGATTGTATTCTGAATACGATTTACCTATAGCATCTCCTTGGCAAAATGTACAGTTGAAACATGTGCCGGCTTAACAGTGCAGTCCTTAGCAGCCTCAGAGATACCTTCAGGGTTAGGTTCCTTAAGTGATAGAAGTCAATTTTATAAGGAATTTTAAAAACAGAATGAACTCAGACTCCTCCAGAAAAGAAAAAATCACAATAGTTCAGGCTCTCAGACTCTACCTAAATATCCAGTATGTCCGAATATACTAGATTTTTAGTGAATTCTTTATTTAAACATTGATTTCTCGGTGTTTCATTAGAAAGTTACAGTTTCTCTTTCCTCTTATAATCTATGTGTCTCAATTTTACCTTCCTCCCATTAAAGCATTTCTGATTATTATTATTTTTTTTTGCTTTGGTATTGCAGGTCAATAGTACACAAAGATGCTTGGCTTATCAGTGCTAAACAGGAACTTTTCTTGTACCAGACATTCTCAGGTGCTGTGCTCTATCTTGGTGTAACATTTGCAGTGTTTCATTTAAAAAGATCATGGAAGGCATGTAAAAACAAGTTTAATAAATGACTCGTATATTTCAGTGCTTCTATTCATTACTCACTACTAGGAAGCATTATACAACCAATTTTGTTCCTGTTGAAATTTGTCAGGCATAGACAGCCCCTGTATGTTAGGTCTTTATATGTTGTTATGTTCAACCCTTTACTGAGAGTTGAACTCCCGGGTCTTGCACATTAATGACTATTATCCTGTTAGCAGCTTGAAGGAAGCAACATCTGTAGATCCAATGAATGATACACCTTCCTTTTTTCTGTTTGCTCTCTCAGACTAGAGAGCTGAGGCCCAGACAAATTAACACCTATCTGCTCTGCAAGATAGCTTTAAAAGCTAAACATACTGCATTATAGTCATCAAAGCACAAGGCCTGGGAGTTCCAATCTCAGTAAAGGGTTGAACATACAATGTATAAGACCTAACATACAAGGGTTGCCTATGCCTGACAAGTTCCGGAAAATGGTCATACAAGACCTCCTAGTGATCAGTAGTGAATATAACCAATGTCATGGAACATTATAGATCAACACCATCCACCTTAGGGGGAAAGGTTTGAAGCTTCTAATGTGAGGTCCAGGCAAATTAACACCTATTGCTCTCTAGCCTGAGAGTGTCAACAAAGAAGAAGAGAACATGTACCACCCATAGGATCATTTGTATCTGTTGGAGAACTTAATCTTGGAATTGTTCAGCCTAACCCCAGATAGATGAGAAGTGGTTGTGGTTACCTACCGCCCAGTGTGTTTTTCTAGTAGTAGTTTCTTGGAAATATTAAATGGATTTCTAACCTAGTGAACTTTCTTAGAGTGAATTAGAAATATTTTTCTATCCTTTTCTCTCTCGCTGAATAATCAGTGAAGTAGAATCACTATCCCACTATTTTAAAATGGATTTTCTTTAAAATATGTCAGCAGGTGGACATAGAGTTCTTTCTCATGACTGAGATACGTGGCTCTTCAAAAGTCCTTGAGCCAACAGAAAACTATTCTGGCACAATATTTGCTGGCCCCAGTGATGTCCACCAGTCACTTTCCTTAATGTGGGCTGGTCTGAGGAGGTATAGTGGGCAGTAAGGACAACCTTGAGGAACCAAAGGGAGAGCTGCAACCATGACAATGGTTGGTTGTCTTGAGTCCAAGGCAGAAATGTAATTTGAGAAAGCATCTCAGACTTGACCCTCCCTAATTCTCATGAAGATAAAGGGAGGGAGGGGGGAAGTGTATTCAGACTTGCAAGATTCTTTACTATAGCCTTATAATAAAAGTAGTATTAGCATTCATAACTTTGGTTTCCTAGTCTGGCCTACTATGAAGGGCTGACAGGAGGAGGCAAGTTTTGACAGATGGCTAGATTGGTGAATTTACTAATTTGCTTTGGGTTTGCACTGGTGTTTGTGCAAGTACCTTCAAAGGAAGCTGTGTTTTGGACCTGGATTTAGAAGAATGCTAAGAGTGCCTGAACAATATTGGATAGGCATGAGGAGAGTTGCATTGTGAAGCAAATGACAAATAGCCAGCTATTTCTCTTCTGCTTCATCATGCAACACCCATGGCCATCACTGGTCAGCTGTTGTTTCAGGCTGGTTCAGGTCTTTTGAGATAGATATTGGCCTGGAGACTTGGTGAGTACAGGGGGAGAGTCACTGGAACAACTGAATTCTCCTTCTCTGTGTCAGGCAGAATGACCCTGGAAAATGGTACTCAGGGACTGGAAGGGAGGAGTACTTGCCCCACCCCAAAGTGGCCAATACATGTTAGGATAATCCCAACCACAGGGCTCATTTGACAGTGACACCAACTGAATGGTTGACAAGGTGTATCAATATGGCATAGCTGCTATGGCTTGTTGCCTGCATTAGCACAGAAAACATACTTTAACACCAACTAAGATGACTCTAAGCTGCCTTGGGTATGAGTTGGAGATGAGACCAAAGTAATTTCATGAGAACTTGGCAGAAAAAAGGTGTTGCCAGGTCATGTTCATGTCAAGATTAGTGCATGTGAGACCCTTTTATTTTTATTTTAGAAAGGTCTATTTGTATGTGCATTTGAACACTATATGCTGCCCTGGTAGTTTGTATTAAATTATTACTGGCACCCTATTCCAAGGTGAATATATATTTTTTAATCTAAGGGTAAGTAACATTGCATAAAAAGAATGTAAATCTGTATACAGTATGCACTTACCACCTAGCATTGTTCAAAATAACATGTCAATTGTGTATAATTAATTTGAATATAGATTTTGATTTGTGTGAAGCCTATGATTACACAACTTTATTTTTTACTTTTCTCTCATAGACATTTCTTCAGTATCTCCTGCTGCAGGCAGCCTCAGTGGTGGAACTGATCTCACCATCACAGGGAACTTCTTTGATGCACCTGTGAAAGTCACAGCTGCAGGTAAAAATGATAAAAATCAAATTTCATGGCACTTATCCCTCTGAAAATGGAAACATGATTAAAAACATATGTGGCATATGTTCATTTTGTTTGGAATGTGTAATAGTTGGCAAGAGGGATGTGAATGCTCTGATGTGCTTCAAATTCATGCTCCTTTTCCTTCTCCACAGGAACTCCCTGCCAAATTAAACATATTACTCCACAAAAGATAATCTGTACAACTGGAGGAGTTGACAATAATAGAACTTTCAGTGAAATTCAACCAGGTATCTTCTACATATGACCTATCCAAGGGATCAAATGAGAGATGAGGTGGGGTTGAGATTTTAGACTGGATCTCTTGACCACTTTTTGTGCTTAAAAGCAGCAATCTCAGTTCATAACAAACTGATTTAGATCACTGACATTTTGCTCAAGACTGTTTACCTACACGATTTCTCCCTGCTGAAGTTTTGAGAAACCTGAGCTGTCATAAATTGAATTGAACAATATCTTAGAGTTAATTTGCACATATGTGAGATCACCAGTATTTATATTTCTTGATTTACTGATGACTACATCCTTGTTTTCCAATTTATCAGGAAACAGGGGGCTTCTTTTTGAAGTTTGGGATAGTTCAGACACTAATCTCACTGAAGCGATTCCAGGATACAGCTGGCAGATTGTTCCTAATGCCAGTTCTCCATACAATTTTCTGTCTGGGAAACAGAAACTGTTCAGGTAATAAGTGTTCTTTGATACGTCTTCTTCATACTACAAGTTGCAATAATATAATGCTGACCATTCTGCAATCTATAAATTTATATCTGCTTTACACAACTGCCATGAAAGAGTATAGGAGCGATAGTGAGAGAGCTTAGAATACTCAGTTAGAGATTTCTCCTCCCAGTCCTAAATGACAACTCACAGACTTTCTAGCTGATAGTCAGGATGGGGCAATATTATTAAGCCAATTTAAGCCAAGCTGTCCTGGAATGTTCCAAAAAGTTACTTGTTACTTGCAACAAGACAGGAGGAGGGAAGAGAAGATCAACCATATACGTTCTGCTTCTCTGTCTTGTTCTCATCGAATTCCACATATTGAAGCCAAAACTTCAGGAGTTTTTCCTATTTAGCTTCCATGTGATGCAGAATAATGATTTTTAGGAGTCTGTTTCACTGAGAGCTTTCCAAGATACAGTTCTGGGAGAAGGTACAGCTGCTTTAAGAAGTTACAGACATCTCTTTGCCTCTGAATCTGAAGCACCGCACAGCCCTAATACTATAGAATTTCAAGCTAATTTTATTCTCCATTTTAATCACTGCTTTATTTGTTATCTTTTGTGATTTTTGTATTTTAATTGGCTTGGAAAGCTGTCTGCCTAAAATGTGATTTATAAAGCTTACAGATCTTACACATTTTTAAATTGATTGATTATGTGCCATCAAGTCATTTTTGACTCCTAGCTACCACATAGATCAGTGTTGTCCAAACTTGGCCACTTTAAGATGAGCGGACTTCAACTCCCAGAATTCCCAAGCCAGCATGGGAGTTGAAGTCCGCTCAT